GGGTCGCGGCGTTGCTTAAGCAAATAAATAAAATGGAGCCTGTTTCGACTTTTGCATTCTTTTCTCTGGTGGTGCTCGCCATGTTTCGCTACGTGCCTCGTCAGTGATTACGAAATCGTTTTATTGCCTATCAGTGATAACCAGTCTTCGACGCAAGACCTCTGGCTAAACGACGTTCACCTAGTGCTACCAGGCTGAAAAAAAAACCATTCAAAAATATAACATCGTTACTTGGGGCTGTTCAAAGTCGTCGTTACAATTAACGTATTTGATGATCTGCCCATCTGTGTCAATTGCATATAATTTGAATGTTTATTCGGTAGTAACACATAGCCTTTGGTAATTCGCATTGTAGTTGTTGGAGTTGCGAGTTGACAAGCTCTTCGTTTTCCATCTTGCCGATCAACCTCTGAATTCCAGGTTCTTAAGGCTTCAGTCGGTGAGCTGTAATCGTTCATAGACCCTTAAAACTTAAGAAAAGTTTGTAAGGAAAGAAATCAGTTCAGTCTGAAAAACGGATTATATGGGTACGTTTTCTACCATTCAGACCGGCAATTAGACTACTCATTTTTTATCCCTTTTTCAGGGGGGACAGTGGAAAGATTGACCATCTAGGAGGATAGTTTTGATTAATCAAGACCTGCAGAAAGCAAGTTATATCCACTACACCACTCCTTGCACTTATTAATGGAAGATGACGATTTATAGGTTAGAGTACGGAAGGCAAGGACAATGTTTATCGATGATATTCGAAAAAGGAGACAATGAGTCAGATTAGAGCAGGGTGAGTGTCACAAAATAAACACTTTTCATGTAATGATACAGGTGATATGATTTATCGACTCAGGGTTACTATGCTGATGACATAGAAACGAAGAGAGAACATTACGTCTGACAAGCACATTTCCTATGGCCAGACTTTATGATGTCAAAATACCCTGCTGATCCTGCTTCCTCAATCTTATACTTTACTTCCTTTGCTCTGCCGTTGCATCAGAATGTCCTTCCGAAGTAGTAGAGTAGTAGTTGTAGGGAAACATTGCAATGATTGACGCCGTTTATAATAGATTTCTCTTTTCAGTGGGACGGTGAGATGGTTCAGAAACTCTAGATTTATTACTCTGGTTTTAATTACCGGGTTCTGTTGGTTGTCTTACTGTACCGAAGCAAAAGGTCCACTGAATACGGATCGAAGCATTGCTGATGATCTATCACTCGTGTTTTTTTTTTAAAATCTTCGTCCCTTATCGTGGGGAATTTGGATTAGATGTCTGTGTCTAGCAGCGATATCCAGTCTATGGCTTAAGGTCTTGAGATCGAATGGACCGACTGGACGTTTCCTTTGAAGAATCGTAACAACCCGTTTGTTGCACTCCTTAATGGTGACTGAAATTGTCTCATGAGGTTCAGCACATTCTCAAAATGGAATCTTTAACTTGAAGAACAGGCGAGTACGTCGTCAGTACACATGCGAAGGCGTTTCTTTCAACAAACCTGTTTCGGAGGGGTTCATAGAATGTGCACGGAAACTCATTCGGTAAAGAGCTCAACTCGCGGGCAGAAAATTGAGGCATCGTTCACCTCACTTCACCTCCAAGATATATGAAGACGTCTGTCCCTGACAGTCTGTGGGCAAGAAGCATTAGAGTAGAAGGTGCAGTGACAGTCTAGGTATAGCCGTTGCTTTCAAAGAACGTGATGATCTTGGCTTTGGCATGAAAATAAAAATCTGTGTTGCGCACTAAGCTCTAAGCAATAAAGGGCGGCAACTGGTATCGATCATCGTCGGGTGCAGGCGACATCCGGATTACGTGAGTAGCAGGCAGAATGGCCAAGGCCATCGATGGGCCTGGCGGGCACATATTCGGCATCTTTGGAACCGGCTAAGTCGCTCATGACTGTCGTCGTCAATCAATTCGAAAGTGACAGATATTCAAACATTTTCGTTAATGACTGAACTCTAATGGATCCTTCGGCGCATTTCACTTCCTCATTCCGTTTCATGCATGAGTCATGGTACCTCATTCGAACTACACAGTGAAGTGTTTCTGGACTACAGCCACGGAACGTACTTTTTTCTCAGAAAATTAGCCTCTATTTTCTCGATGAGCGTTTGAGGAAAGATTCGTGTCAATCGACTACTTGTCTTTTTCACAAGCTCCTCAATCTGACGATTGGCCCGTTACGATGCAATAAGCAAAAAATGCTATTTCATAGGCAATACCTCCTCTTCTATGACTTGTGCAGCATGTGGCTTACTAACATCTCAAAATCGGCTACTCATCTGTTTATTTCAGGAAGTTGAATGATAAGCACGATCCCTCAGGATTCCATCCTATAACCTGTCGACTATAACGACGTTTAGTCTTCTGGCCTACCGAGCCGATAACTGATCAAATGCCATATCAGCCCGCTATTGTTTGAAAAACCGGTCTCTAAGATCACTCTAGAATTCTCATGAACTCCATATCCTTAATATAATGCCTCAGGCCCCATGAATTGCCTCTGAATATTCATGTGATTTACACCGTATCTTAAAGTTGTAAAGTCATTGTGCTCTTAACCTAGAACCTAGAACATGTCCTAAGGCTTGTCTGAGACTGGCTATTTTTTGCATATGATGGTCAATGCTATTATGTTTTCACGCATGGCGAACAGTGTTATACCAACTCTTTCAGCTTGTCTTAGCGAATCGTTTTTTTGCTCAAGTTTTTAAAATCTAATCGATAGTACTCTGGTTCATTGACTTCAAATTTTTTCTAAAACGAGTTACAATTTCCTCTGTAATCACATTTGATCTTCTCGGTTTTTGCCTCTTTTTCCATTCATAAGTAAATTCTATTTCATTCCATGCTTGGAGTATAGTCTGTCATCGTGACACAGTTTCGTTTCATACTCTGAATGAGCGTGAATTTTGGGTCTCTGTTGCATATTGACGATGAGAAGTCCATCAGTGATCGATTCACAGTCGTACAGCTCTTATTTTAATCTTGTGTTAGTCACGCAAAGAGTTATGGCCGTATTTGAGCAAAAGGACCGCCATTCATTAATGATTAACCGACCATGCCGCGCAATAGCAGAAAATCCCTTAATAATTTATTTACGTTATATGAGCTCTGTCGGTAGGGAAGAATAATTGATGAGCGCTTTAAAAACTCAAAATACTTTTGCCTGAAAAGCTGATGCGATCTACTGTCACGACTTTTCTGTACTAACGTTAATTCGAAGTCAAACGTTCAGTTATATATATATATCTGAGTTATCTGCAGAATCGTACATCTTCTGTGACCTTCAGTCCTCGCACAGATAAGGACAATTTGAGGCCTTGTGGAATAACATGTGGACGTGTATTTTGAAACATCCTGGTGCGAGAGATGGCGAGGATTGGTGACAGATTTACCAAGCTTTACAGTAGACCTTACAGACTGATCTACCAGGACGTTTGCGGCCTTCCCGTGGGAAAACTGACCGGCTGTGTCGAGAATTTCGTAACCGATTGAAACTTGCATGAGTTCCGTTTACGAGGGAGAAAAGTACATCGGCGAGGCAAATGTAATTAAAGGGAGCATGCAGATATTTGTTTTTGCCAGAGATGTTTTCGCCTCCAGGTTTTTTGCATGCTCTTATAATGCCCTGTGCACACTGCACCCTTACTTGGATCTTTCTGCATATGTTGGCTAAAAAGGTAAGGTGCAACAACGCTGTGTAACCTGATTTGGTTGGCTTATGCGTGATTTTTGGCTTTTGAGTGAAATGAGGTCATTAAATTACAAACCGACGTGCCACAATCATTGGCAATCGTCCAGAGTGATAATTCGTCCGTGTAGGTTTGGTCTGAATCTAATTTGCCATTTAATACAGGCCTGTGATACATGGGTGTTGCACCACTGCAACGTAAGCTTCAGCCACGTCCAAGGCATGGTGTAAAGTGCACGACGAGGGCGAGGGAATGAT